TTCAACAATAAACAACATATATGATATAGAGGACAGTACATCTAACATGGCGACCCTGCAGTGACTTTATATACATAATTAATTGATTTATTAATTTATAATTAATTATGAACGAACATCAAAGTAATCAAGTTGAATCAATAGATGTTACTGATCCTCAATGTAATGTACAAGTTCCAACAAGAGATTCTAATAAAAAACCATCTTTATTAGAAGTACTTCGTCATCATATAAAATCATTCAATGGTAGTGATGATGCTCGTGAATGGTTAAAACATATTCAATCGAAATTTTCAGCATTTAATTTAACATTTAAAGAACGATTTCAAATTATTCCATATTTTTTTGAAGATGATGTATTTATTTGGTATGCTTTGAATCAAGATAAAGTTCAATCCTATGCACATTTATGTCAATTATTTATTCATGAATATTTTAAATTAAAACAAAATTCTGATCTTGATGCTAATGTTAATCTTGGACAAACAAATAAATATTTATTGTTACGTTAACCCGTTGTTAGTAATGAAATTGCACATGATTATGGTTTAGGTTTTGAAAAAGATAAATCTTCTTCTATTCAATTAATTGGTGCAGTAGTTATTCGACCAAAATCCAAAACAACACCACAACATATAACGTCATCATCTCCATCACAACATATATCATCATCATCAACACAGTCTCCAAATGACTTTAATTATTCAAATCCTGATAAAAAAAGTTTTGATATAACTAAATTAAAAGAATATCAGTTTAATGATAAACAAGTTCAAAAGGTTCTTAATGATTTAAAAGAAAATACAAATATGTCTTTTGTTTATCAAGATGGAATTTTATATAAATTAGCATCTATTCCACATGGAAAGACTCCACGTAAATTATTTTATATTCCATCATCTATGATCAAACATTTGCTTATTTCTTATCACAATAATCCTCTTATTGGTGGATATTTTGCAATACGACGAACATTAGAAAAACTTAAACAACAGTTTTGGTGGCCCGATAGACCACTATTACTTCCAGATAATTGATTTTATTTATAATTATTTCAAGTATTTAATGAAGCATCATTTGAAACTATTTATTAGTGAATTATTTTATTTTGTGTTAAATTATGGTCACGTTTAATTATCATCAATCATAAGAATTTTCTTGCTGGACAAGTTAAACTTATGTATTTTATCGAATGGAAGAATGGATAATTGTTAGTCATGGCCAAGACTGATACTTATTATATTCTTAATGTTATTTATTACATTTAAAAATGATTATACTGATTATACAATTTCATTTGACTTTAATGTTATTATTTTTTGATATTTGATTGATATTACTTTAGATGCTTTTCATATACAGATATAGTTGATTGTTCTATTACAAATTATGGTTTATATATCTCTTCACATTACTATTATGTTTGACATAATAAATGTTATTGATATTAATTTATTATTGGTGGATTATTATATTGCAGTTTATGGTTTATATATCTCTTCACATTATTATTATGTTTCACATGATAAATGTTATTGATATAATGTTATTAGTTGATTATCTATTCGTTTCACATGTGTTTTTTCTTAAAAAAAAAAAAAGAAGTTATTCCAACTTATACTTGGTGATATATCGCAAACAAATCAACCGATTTTTTTTCTCCTTTGCTCTCATTTTGACAACGTTCTTTTTCTCTCACTATATTATTTCATACCTTTCTCATTTCTTTTGTTAATTATTTTCACATCCTTCATCTAGTTTAAAAAAAAAAAAATGAAAGATGTAACATCCTTTTTTTTACTTAAGCGGGGGGAGTGTTATGATCTATGGTATACATAGGATCATCATATATATCTTCTTTTCTTTCTCTCCTTGTGACTCATCTTCTTTTCCTTTTTCTTTTGGTATATATTAAGTTGTTGTTTTCTTTTTAATTCTCGATTCAACAATAAACAACATATATGATATAGAGGACAGTACATCTAACA